CAGGCCGGAGTGCCTGGATCTGATTCATACGACATTTGGGTGCTGCTGTTCTGGTTGGAAAAAAAAAAGAAGAAAAAAGATGTCAGTTAGCAAACAGCAGATCATCAGTTCGAGTTTGACGAAAGACGAAAAAAAAAATTGAGCTCTGCTCGAGTTGGAAAATTTGCACTGACGTTTCATCACTTCATCAGTCCACGTACAAATGGAGACATTTGACATTTTTTTTCCCTTTTCTTTTCTTTTTTTCTTCTTTTTTGGTAAATAGCAAGCAATTATTTTATTTTATTTTTTTTTCTAACCTCACAAACAGCAATTATTTATTACGGACCCAATGCCCAAGGCAGTACATGCCAATTGCAGAAAATGGCAATTGATATGATTTTCTGCATCTGTGCATAAAAGACATGCAGGTTCAGGTGCAAGGAACATGAATATGGACGAAGTACAGAAATCCAGATTGCAAAATCACACTGAAGTCCAAGTAGTCAAAGCAAGAGCAGATAGCACAATGGAACCGAGTAACCATCCATTTGAGAACGATACAGAAGAATCGTGAGTCGATGTCCAAGCCCAACAGGGCAACACCAACAGCATAGCCCAATGTAGCTCTCTCTCTTGAATGGCGCCAGGCGCCCTACCTACTTTACAGCCTATCACTACAACTACAGTATGAAAGCAACCAGACAACTAGACGACCAGCGAGTGATGATGTCAACACCAATGCCGACATCCACCTCCACCAGGTACGTCTCCTTCTTCACCCACACTCTCCCTTGTTATCCCACACAGCGCCCTACACCTCCGAAGAACCACCTTTGCCCTCACCTCCCCTGCGCCCTCAGGCAGCCCGGCTATGGCCGCCAGCGCCCTGTGTACAGGCAGCACCCTACCGCCTAGCGCCTGCCTGTCTCGCACCTCAGCCTAGCGCAGCGCAGCAGCTCGCATTAGCGCAGCGTGCCGGCATTGCCCGCAATGGCCAGGATCCTAGCCCACTCGCCCTGCTTGCCTATATGCCAGTGTTGCGTGTGGGTGGCCTCCCTTCAGCCTGCGTCTGGGCCCCAGTACCTGAGCCCAGGCCCCATGCAGTTGAGGCCCAGGGAGATGCAGTTGCGCCTCGTTCATCAAGGCCTGCAGCCAGATTCAGAGAGTGGGCCGGTTTCCCATTGGCATTTTCGGCCTCTATATCCAGCATGCATTGTCGGCCTCACGTTTATGTGCCCAGGGCCTAACCAACTCAGGGGCCCTGGGATTTCCGCATTTGCAGAGATCCGAGACTCGGTGCACTCCAACCAACTGGCGTGCTGCAACTGTATGGACCCCACTTCGTGAAATGTTTGCACAGAGGGCTCTTGTTGATTTGCTGGCCCACCTTCACTTAGGGCAGGCACTAGGCTTGCTGGGGCCTTAGCCCAGAACATGTGCATCATGGCAAGGCCCCCTTCTTGAGGGCTCAATCCTCACACAGGTGCTTAATCCACCCAAAAAATTGTCTTTTGATCGTCACTGTGGGACCTTGCCCCAGAAATGTTGCCTTCTCGAGCTGACCAAGGGCCGTCCTCCAGTAGCACTTGGCACTTGCTCCTGCTTTGTGCGGCTCCTTCCTCCGAAAAGGATCAGCCTTCACAGCGGGTACCACACTCTTTATTCTTATTTGTCTTTTTTTCCGGCCTGCTACCGTAGGTGGGGGGGTGGGGGTGGGGGGGGGGGGAGAGTGGGGGAGAGAGGAAGCCGGGGACGGGGGACCACACTCGCAACAGCTGTAGAAATGGTCCAATCTTGCACACCAGTTCACAAGAGCCTATGTAGGCTATTTCCACGAAGCTACGATAACCGTCTGAGGCTTCAGAGCCTCCAACTGGGCCTTTCCTTAGCTAAGGGCCGAGCTGCATTACTCTCCCTCTGCCAAGATTTTGAATGCATCTGGACAGACCCCCTGTCCACATTCGTCCAAAAGTTGCTGTGGAAGGCACGGACTACTGGTCCACCGCCGACTGGTACGTTCTTACTGCCAGTAACTTCCGACGATCCTTCAGTGACTTTTTGTCCCACATCTCAAGCTGAGTGACTTTCATCATGATCTAGGGCCTTGCCGCACGGCACAACTAACGAAACGAAACGATCACCAGAGTCGCGAGCCCTCGCGAAGCCCTGATCCACCGTTTCTCTTCGTTTTTTGCCTCACCGCCCCACAGCACACACGAAAACTCTCGTGACAACGCCCTGGTGAGAGTAGTGCGGGATTCGCTTCGCTACGGTCCAAATTTGTGGACGCTACGGTCCAAGTTTTTGGATGGACCTCGGTTGGAGCGATGCAGCACACTCGTGAGATTTCGCAGCTCCTCCACCGTACCAGCGGAGGACCTACGAGTTCGTGAGTGCTGCAGGCAGGGAGGAGTCGGCACGCTCGTGAGGGCTCGCGAACTTGGAGACTGACAGCATTCACGAGTTTTTCCTGACAGAGGTCGTGTGGGTGCCATGCGGCGACTGCTTCACGAAACGAAGTCGTTTTTTTTCCCGTTTTGTGCACCGTGCGGCGAGGCCCCTAGTCAATGCTCTATCATCATCCTTCCTGTTAATTTTTATTTTTATTTTTTTTGG